TGCTTGCACAGGACCGTGTGCTCTGAATTTTGGCCATGTGAGCTCAGCTTGGAGCTGCCAAGGGTGAGCCGCCAGCCCCAAATGCCACCATCTCCAATGCCCAGGCCAGTTTTCTTTAGAGTCCACCCTCATTGGAGTAAAGAGAAACTGGCCATGTGGAGAGGAGTGTTCTAAGAGAGGGCAAAAGGCCCCAAATTCTCTCCAGTGAAAGAATGCGTACCCCTGCCCCAGCAAGCATTTGCCCAGTAGTAATGCTGCTCCCTGTTTCTTTGGGGTAATGCAAAACTGTCACCTGGCAGGTGAGGTGCTATAGCCGTGGGTTCTCTTTCTCTGGCTGCCTGGCGGCTGGGGCTCCTGGGGGCCTGTTGCCTTTTATGGGGGCCATCCTTAAACCTCCTTCCTGGAAAAGCCCTATAGGGCTGGACTCAGGAGGGAAGTTGGAAGTAACAGAGCATATCTAGAGCATCAAAGAGGAGGCAGAAACCAGGATCTCAAAGAGAAAAATTTTAGTAGAAACAAATTAGAAGTAAAGAAAGGCAACTTACAAACAGAAGCTAGAAGTGGAGTTCAGTTTTCTAGAATAGTGCTTGTGAAACTTCAGTGTGCAAAGGAATCACCAGAGGCTCTTGCTAAAATGCAGATTCTGATCCTGGACGTCTGTGATTCTGCATTTCAACAAGCTTCTGGGTGATTCACAGCTGTTGAGCCTCAGAGGACCAAGGATCTGGGGCCAGAGGTGTTGGCTGCGGTTCCCCTTGACGGCTACGTCTTGGACAGCACAGCCTCAGTGCTCAGGCGGGAGGCCCTGCTCAAGAAGCAGTAGAGCCTGGTGGTTAAGAATGCAGACGCTGAGCCACACTGCCTGGTTTGAATTCTGGCCACTTATTAGCAAATTACTTAATCAATCTGTGCCTTAGTTTCCGCATCTGTGAAATGGGAATAATCATAGTACCTACTTCACAGATCTGTTTGAGAGGGAAATGAGAAAATGTATGTAAAATAAGTAGACCAGTGCTGGGTTCATTGCAAATGCTGATTAAATGTTAGTTGTTGCTGTTACCGTTACTATCATTTGGTTGCGGAGTTCAGAGTCGGGCCTTCTGCTTCCTGCCTCAGCTGTAGACTTCTCTTGTCAAAGAAGAAAAGGGCTCTCGTGGGGTTATCTTACTTATCTTACTTCAGAGATGCTTAGTTCAGAATTTCTCCTTTTAGTAAATGAGGTCTAGAAATAAAGCTCTGGGGAGGCAGCTGGAGCCTAGCTTTCATGTTCACGTCAGCCTTATTTATAGCTTCAAACTGAAAACCTGTGCAGCCTGGTGGCCTGTGAGGGAGGAGGCCACCACCGTGCATGGCAGGGACATTCCTGAGAGCCTCAGATGGGGGACCCGGTGCCCTGAGGTGATGGAATTTAAGTTTCCAGTTACCTCTGGGCATTCTCCCCAGCAGGGCCCAGGTTTCACGGTGGTAGAAGGCTGTTCACAGGGGCCGTTCTTCTTTTCCTCTTGAGAGGAACAGTGTGGCCTGGGAAGAGGCCAACACAAATGCAAGTGCGTCACTCCCGGCTTAGCTTTCCTTTTCTGAGGGTGTCAGTTTCTTAAAAACAAAAATTCACAGAGGCAGAGCTTGGGGTTTCGGAAAGCAATAGTCTCCCATCTCTGCCTCTCTCGGAGAGTCTCTGCAGGCTAGCAGGATGCTTTGGGCTGAGCGTGGGACTCAGCTCCTGCTGGAATGTGGGTCTGTAGCATTTGCTGCCCTGGGAGTGTCATGTTGTTGACGTCAGAGGCAGCAGCGGGGGACTGGTTCTAGTTGGCAGCCTGGGAACAGGGGCTGCTCCTGTAAGCCAGCAGCAGTCAGGGGATGCAGTGTGCTGCAGAAGAGGCATGGGGCTTCATTGTGTTCAGAATAAAATCTCGTGATTTCCGTCATTGATGGAGATGGGTGGGGGATGGCAAAATGTAGATAGCAAGGGTATGTGTGAACCAGGCTGACCTGTCAGGGCTTGGTTCCTGACGAAGTTCCAAATGTCCACGGATTACCTATATTCAGGTTTGTGTTTGTCAGAGAGGGATTCCAAACACTTGAGGTCTGGCAGAATCTCAGCCCCTGGAGTCGTGTCTGGCGTGCCACTAAAAGGCTTTAAAGATGGGGCACAGCTTCCTATGGCAGCTTTGTTGCTTAATAATTATGATCTTAAGCAAATTAATTATCCTGTGTTTCATTTTCCTCATCTATAAAATGAAGATAATATTTCCCTTCAAAATGTATTGAAAGAACTAAAAAGAAAACATGCTTAAAAAGCATAAACAGACAGATAATAACATTGATGACACTGTTTGCCTCTGGGGAGGGGAATTAAATTCCTGACGGATAAAGGGAAGACTTTTTACGAGGTACCTTTTTATAACTTGAATTTTAAATTACATAATTATCTGTTTAAAATGCTAATTTCATTTAATTTAAAAATAAAACACATGTTGGGATGCCTGGCTGGCTTAGTGGGTAGAGCATGCAACTCTTTTTTTTTTTTTTTTTA